AAAAAAAAAAAAAAAAAAAAACTGTTTGCAAGAAGCTATTTTTACTGTCGCAATGGAACAAAAATTTTTTGTATTTATACTTTTTTTTCGCTACTAAACAGCGTAAAACTATGGGAGAATTTTCTAAGCAAACTGTTTTTCTTGCAAAAGAACTGTTTTAAACCTCTGTAAAACAATTTGATTTAGACTGCTGAAAAAAAAAAAGATTCTTTTTAACTTGCATTCTGAAGCAAAAAAATAAAAAATAAAACGAGTACAATATAAAAAGTCGCCTATATATTTTAATTCATATAACCATTCCTTTCAGCAATTTTATTATAGATTACAATCATCTGCAATTTCATTTACCAAACAACAGATTTTGAACAACATATAAAAAGAGTTTTATAAAAGTGTTGTGGAAAACACAGTATTACTTAAAAGACAGTTTCAATTCAATGGATATACACGCATAATAAAAAAAAGTTCTTTGATTTGAATGTACAAAAGTAGAAGAATATTTTGTCTGATCAAATTATTCTTCATTTTTAGGTTATTGAATTATTGCATTGTAAAGATTTTGAAAAGGTTGCTCTAACAGTTACAGTTCAATTAAGCAACTGATTAGGAGCTGCTAAATTTATGGGAAAAGTATGATTTGCTAATACGTTTAAACAATAAAAAAAACGTCACACATACCGTATAACCAGAAATATTTTATAAGTATACAAGAAATTGCAGAAAAAATAATACAACTCATTGTAACATCAGTCAAATGGAACTAAACTTAAGTAAAACAGATGAGGAAAAAAATAAAGTAGACAACTGTGCTCAACAGTGAGTCACATAAGTTGCTGTATTTAAACTGCCAATAAATTTAATGTCATGATCAAAGGTTAAAGTACAGTTTCGTTATTAGTTGCTCAAATTTATAGCTATTTCAGTAGTTCGTTCCCATGCGCCTATTTCATTGTTACGCACAACTGATATCTAATTTGGAGGAGTGTTTCGTCGTCAAATAAAATTTCTGCAAAAATTTCTATTTAGTGGGATCAAAAAGGACAATATTTAGTCGTAGAAACGAAAAACTACCCTTTGATTTTTGAGCTAAAAAAAACATTCTGCTGAAACTTTGGTTTCAGAATACATTTATGATCACTTTTTAGCACCTTTTGTTGTATTTGTGGCGTCGCACTTTTTATGAGCCTTTTCTATTTTATTTATTTTTTTTCATTTTAATCAAGTTATAGAGACACTCTTTTTCTTTAAAGCGAAACAAACGAACAAATAATTAAAAATTTAACGAAGAAATACGACAAAACATTAAATAAAAAAGAGTGGTATTTTTGATGCTGATAAGCGCCATTAAGCGTCTAATTAGCTCTCTTAATTATTCATTTAAGTAGTAAATACGTTGTTAAAGACTCGTAAAGTTGCTTTTATGGTGCTTTATCAAGTGAAGTAGAGAAAGAACATTTTGCCTGCTAAATTGAAGGTTGAGAACAGCAATTAATTTATCAGCGGTGGCGTTGATCTCGACCGCTTACTACCGATTATCTGAGATGGTAAAATTAGAAAGGCTTAGTAAGACTAGTGGTCTTATCATGCAAATTACTTCAAGAAATGATCCTGGACAGTAATTTACTTTACTTATGCTTATATTTAATTAAATGACAAGCGTACCGATCTTCCTATCCAGCACTTTTCTAAGACTGTTGTCTTGTCTACGCAGAGGAAATAAATGAGTTAGAGTGTGAAAGTTTAGTTTATCAGTAACGGTATGTTTACGGACATAAAGTGAGCATACAGTTGTGGGATTGTCACATTTCCAGAAATAAAGTTATAAATTACAAAAAGCATCAACTAACTTTAAAGTACATACAAGTATATTTGCTTGAATTAATATACAATAGAAAAGCTTTATTATTTAAATATTCATATAAAAAATTTCCAGAAAAGAATATACGAAAGCAGAGAATGGCCGTGTTTGAGGTCATTGTTTATTTTAAACTAGCCTACTACGATGCACTTAAACTAGTGCATAAACTAGGCCTACCAAATAATACATTATGAATAAAGAATTGGCTAAGGACTTATGGCTACATAAAGCCTATTTTAAGGATATCGTAGCGTAAATAGGGTTGCAATCAGTTGTACTTAAATCAAACAAGCGTCAAAAAGTTGTTAAACATATATGAAGTAGCTGTTTAAACTGGCGATAAATTAAAGGATAAATAATGTAAGATACGTTGTGCAGCAGATGTGTCGATAGTTGCACGGGAAAGTGCATGCAAACAAAAAAGAAAAGAAAAAAGGAAGAAAAATGAAAGAAACTTCATGTGATGTCAATCAAATGGAACTAAGTATTAAGATGTAGATTGAAAAAAAAAAAAAAAAAAAGAAATTGTAAGAAGATAAAGAAGTTTTACTTAACATCTACAAGTAAATTTATTGAACCTATTAGGCGGTGATCTTTGATGTGTCATTGACTTTGGTATATAAATGTGAAAATTAAATTGATTTGTAGTTTGTAGTTACTCAAGTCTGTAGCTATTTTAGACTGTTCTATGTTAGTTTGCATTGCTGCTGCTGCTGTTGTTGTTTAGTCGTTGGTTGGTGGTGTTTTTGTCACGTAGGATTTTTGCAAACCAATTCAATATATAAAGGCATTTGTTCAGCTGGTTGAACAAACGTTTTTGGATCGTTGTGTCCAGAAGCTGTTTGTGTTCATATCGTTGCTGTCAAATCATTATCAATGTCCAGATTTGTGAACAAAGTTGCTCTTGTTACTGGTAAGTTTACAGAAAAAAAAGCATGTTC